AACTACACATGACACATGATGGGTTATGGTGGCCTGGTGGGACATGTCTGAGTGGGTGCGAGTTGGTTGTCGCTATGTTTTCATAGGTTTGGGCTTGACCAACTCCTATGAGATGTCTGAGTTCGGCACCATAACCAGCCAGAGAACTACGCCTAATACCTCAGGCCAGAAGAACAATATCACCATCACCCGCCTAAGAAACGAGGAGATCGAGGAGATGGTATAGGAGGCGAGAGACTTACAAGGCCGAGGGCTAGGAGCACAAGAAGAAGGCAAAGTGTGTTAAACATTCACGTAAGTTGGCCCTAGTAAAAAAACTAGTAGTATTAGAGGAGAAAGTACTCAGACTCTACATGTAACTCTTATATGACTAGGAAAAACTACACATGATGGGTTATGGTGGCACTGTGTGGGGACACATGTCCGAGTGGGTGCGAGTTGGTTGTTGCTATCTTTTCATAGGTTTGGGCTTGACCAACTCCTATGAGGTCTCTTAAAAGTAAATAAACTAGTGGGATAAGATGGATAAGTACTCAAAGTTGGCCCTAGTAAAAAAAACTAGTAGTATTAGAGGAGAAAGTACTCACTGACTCTCTACATGTAACTCTTAGATGACTAGGAAAAACTACACATGATGGGTTATGGTGGCACGATGGGACATGTGTCGAGTGGGTGCGAGTTGGTCATCGCTATGTTTTCATAGGTTTGGGCTTGACCAACTCCTATGAGATCTCTTAAAAGTAAATAAACTAGTGGGATAAGATGGATAAGTACTCTGCAGCCTATGTAGATCTCTCAAATGTAAGGGAACTAGTGGAATGAGAGGGAAAGGTGTGCAATGGCGGGAGCGGCACGACCGGAACTCTAGCGATGGCAGTGCTACATGTAACTCTTATATGACTAGGAAAAACTACACATGACACATGATGGGTTATGGTGGCCTGGTGGGACATGTCTGAGTGGGTGCGAGTTGGTTGTCGCTATGTTTTCATAGGTTTGGGCTTGACCAACTCCTATGAGATGTCTGAGTTCGGCACCATAACCACCCCAGAGAAACTCGCCTAATACCTCGGGCCGAAGAACAATATCACCATCACCCGCCTAAGAAACGAGGAGATCGAGGAGATGGTATAGGAGGCGGAGACTTACAAGGCCGAGGGCTAGGAGCACAAGAAGAAGGCAGCGTGTGTTAAACATTCACGTAAGTTGGCCCTAGTAAAAAAACTAGTAGTATTAGAGGAGAAAGTACTCTGTACTCTACATGTAACTCTTATATGACTAGGAAAAACTACACATGATGGGTTATGGTGGCACAGTGGGACATGTCCGAGGGGGTGCGAGTTGGTTGTTGCTATCTTTTCATAGGTTTGGGCTTGACCAACTCCTATGAGGTCTCTTAAAAAAATAAAACTAGTGGGATAAGATGGATAAGTACTCAAAAAGTTGGCCCTAGTAAAAAAAACTAGTAGTATTAGAGGAGAAAGTACTCAGACTCTACATGTAACTCTTAGATGACTAGGAAAAACTACACATGATGGGTTATGGTGGCCTGATGGGACATGTCCGAGTGGGTGCGAGTTGGTCATCGCTATGTTTTCATAGGTTTGGGCTTGACCAACTCCTATGAGATCTCTTAAAAGTAAATAAACTAGTGGGATAAGATGGATAAGTACTCTGCAGCCCTATGTAGATCTCTCAAATGTAAGGGAACTAGTGGAATGAGAGGAAAAGGTGTGCAATGGCGAGGCGGGCACACGACCGGAACTCTAGCGATGGCGATGCTACATGTAACTCTTATATGACTAGGAAAACTACACATGACACATGATGGGTTATGGTGGCACAGTGGGACATGTCCGAGTGGGTGCGAGTTGGTTGTCGCTATGTTTTCATAGGTTTGGGCTTGACCAACTCCTATGAGATGTCCGAGTTCGGCACCATAACCACCCAGAACTACGCCTAATACCTCGGGCCGGAAGAACAATATCACCATCACCCGCCTAAGAAACGAGGAGATCGAGGAGATGGTATAGGAGGCGGAGACTTACAAGGCCGAGGGCTAGGAGCACAAGAAGAAGGCGTGTGTTAAACATTCACGTAAGTTGGCCCTAGTAAAAAACTAGTAGTATTAGAGGAGAAAGTACTCACTCTACATGTAACTCTTATATGACTAGGAAAAACTACACATGATGGGTTATGGTGGCACAGTGGGGGACATGTCCGAGTGGGTGCGAGTTGGTTGTTGCTATCTTTTTTCATAGGTTTGGGCTTGACCAACTCCTATGAGGTCTCTTAAAAGTAAATAAACTAGTGGGATAAGATGGATAAGTACTCTCAAAAGTTGGCCCTAGTAAAAAAAACTAGTAGTAGTATTAGAGGAGAAAGTACTCATACTCTACATGTAAACTTTAGATGACTAGGAAAAACTACACATGATGGGTTATGGCGAGTTGGTCATCGCTATGTTTTCATAGGTTTGGGCTTGACCAACTCCTATGAGATCTCTTAAAAGTAAATAAACTAGTGGGATAAGATGGATAAGTACTCTGCAGCCTATGTAGATCTCTCAAATGTAAGGGAACTAGTGGAATGAGAGGGAAAGGTGTGCAATGGCGGGGAGAGCGGCACGACCGGAACTCTAGCGATGGCAGTGCTACATGTAACTCTTATATGACTAGGAAAAACTACACATGACACATGATGGGTTATGGTGGCCTGGTGGGACATGTCTGAGTGGGTGCGAGTTGGTTGTCCCTCATCCCCGCGCCGGCGACCTCCCCACCCGACGGCGAGCGACCTTGCGAAAAGCGACGAGCTTGCTACGACAAGCAGAAGGTTCGGGCAAACCAAACAGATGGTCTATATTTGCATGCACAAAAAAAATAAAAATAGTCAGCAAAAGACAGGTAGGGTAAAAAAAATGATTGAAGATATGTAGGGTAAAATATGGATTAAAAAAATGTAGGGTAAAATATGGATTGACGCGAGGAATGGTAAAATAAGGATTGAAGGGAGGTACTCCCTCCGTCCACAAAAGAATGCAATTGTAAGACTTTCAAAGATCACGTTTGATCATTCGTCTTATTAAAAAAACAATTACATATTTTAAAATAAATTAATTATTATTAAAGTATCTTATATGATAAAATAAAACATAATTGGATACATGATATTTATATAAAATTTTTGAATAAGATGAATGGTCAAAAGCGATCTTTGAAAGTGCTACAATTGCATTCTTTAATGGAGTACTCCCTCCGTTCCAAAATAAGTGTCGTTCTCGCTTCCCGAGAAACAACTACCGGCAATTATATATTAAAATATATAAATAGTTATGCTAAGTAATTAGTATTATCGGAAAGATCTTTATGTCTAATTTTTTAACAAATTTATTTGAATATATAAATATTTTATATCTTTTCTATAAATCGAGTCAAACATGTGACACAGAAACCAAAACGACACTTATTTTGAAATTGAAGGAGTAGGTGAAAGTTGGGAGAGTAAAAGTTGCCGGCTGGGCAATAGGCAATAGGCCGGCTGGGCAGGCTTCTATGCCACACGCAAAGCTGCCGGCTGGGCAGGCTTCACGGGCGGTGAGCGGGTATTGACTCGACGACTCGTTGTGAGCGGCACAGACTACATCGCCGCAATGGTACTCCCTTTTACCCGCCCGCCGCCGCCCTCTTCCATTCTTCTCTCTAGCGCTGCTCGAGGCAGTCACATCGCAATTGCTCCTGGCTGGAACCCTGGAACCTATACATGGCTACTCGGCGGCAACCGGCGATGCGGGCTCGCAAAACCAGATTGGACTCCGGGCTCCAGACCAAGAAACGCAAGGTCTTTTTTTCTCCTTCTCCCTCACTCTCCTTTTGTGGCCGGAGGCGATGGCGGCGGCGGCGGTTTAGGTCCGGTGCCCCGCCGTCGTACCTTGCAACAGCTGCTCCCGTCGGCGCAGTCGGATCCGCCGCCGCATCTCGCTTTGCCAGTTTGTTGTTGTGAGAAAACTTTATGTATATTTGCTCTTGTTTATTCCCTTGCTGTTTTTTTAACAAACTGCTATAAAGTTAATTCTTGGTTTGTTCCCTTTTAGATTCATAACGAGTCCTCTTGCTCGTCTCCGGCCGACGGGACGCCCAGATCTCCGGCCGACTATACGTGCACATCTCCGGACGAGGAATCGTCCACTTTTCACTCTTCAACCTGTCGCTTGGGTACGTCTCGGTCTTCACCCGGTGGATTATCAGGAAGATCTCTCTCTTCTTCCATCCTGTGTCTGCAGGGCGCCGTCTGCGGTGGCGCCGTCTGCAGGGCTGTGATTTCTAGTGTCTTTTTAGATTAGAGTTTTAGTCTCTAGGACAGCACCAAAGTGTGATTTTGTCAACTGCGGTGGCATTGTAAGCTGGTCAAAACAGCCATCTTCTATATATTCTCCCTTTGCTACCTGTCATCTTAACAGCTTCTCGAGAATGCTTGTTGGTGGTTTAATGATTGTCTCTATATATGTTGTTCTAGCTTGTTGATTGGTTTGGTGGTTCAACGTTGATATTGCCAAATCTTTGTTTTCACAATTGATAGCACAATGGCCCTTAAGAGATGAGAGATATCAGAGTTGCTATCTTACTACTTGATGTTGTGCACTAGTAGTCTGTAGCACCACTTATTGTTGTATCATGTGCTAAGAATTGGCAATATCAACGTTGATTTGCTTCTGAAATTTTAAAACACTGATGACCTCACTTATAATGGTGACAGTCTTACTACTTGATGTTGTGCACTAGTAGTCTGGTAGCACCACTTATTGTTGTATCATGTGCTAGAATTGGCAATATCAACGTTGTTTGCTTCTGAAATTTTAAAACACTGATGACCTCACTTATAATGGTGACAGATTCTGGACAGCAGCCCCCATCCCAGGAACATGGAGGATGAAATTGATTCTCTGGATAAGAAAATCATTGCTGTGATTGGGACGATATCTTCGTGTTATACTATGAGTGATGGATGGTATCATGGTGCAGGCGGTATGAGACTTATTTTGATAGGATTTCTGTGGTGGAGGAGTACAAACACGTCACGATAGAAATGATTAAGGAACGGATTGAAAAATTAGAACAGATGGTTGAAGATTTCTGTGTTAGTAAGCAGCGAAATCCATATCATAGTCCAAAACTTGTTTTAATCCTAGGGCCTTTCCTACTACTGACCCTTTTTTTTTTTAGGAGAAACGACGACCAAGTTTGCCCCATGAGAAGCCTATGCTTTATGTGTTCAGGGGTTATGAGATTATTGCCCCCCAGAGTCCACGAAGTTCTGGGAAAAGAGATGCCCTTGTTTCGGAAGAACTGGAAGCACCTTCCACTAAAAGAGTACGTTCAGAGAGTGTTGATATGGTTATGTATCTGAGCAATCCAGACGCCGCATCAAAGCTTTTAAAAGGTGGCCTTGGTATGGACGATTGTACTACAAGAGCTGAGTACTTACTTCATGACTCTCACATGCTATATCCTGCTGTCACTCTTTTGAGGCAAAATATAGAAATTGTCAGTCATTCATGACTTTTGGAGACAGTCATGCACGTGGTTATATTGAGTATGAGCTGAAGCAACATGGTATGCTGTGAACTGGTGAGTGGAGTGTTAGGGATGACTCACCAGCACACACTATAAGACTGCCCTGCGACTTTCATTATGCTGTTTTGGTTGTGCAGCCGTGATATGAACATTTTGTTTCCCTTGATATGATCATTTTCTCATCTTGACCATTTTCTCATCTTTGTAGGAAAGAGGGGAGCTCAAAGAGGGGTGGAGACGTCTGAGCACTCTTGGGAAGTACCTGATCAGTGAGGGTGACCTGCAGTGGGGCAATGATCAGTGCCCAAAACTTAATGTAGTATTCTTAGTTTGCTGAAGTAGAAGTCTAATGAACCAGTACTTTGTAGTTTGTAGTACTCATGTTGCATGCTTGTCCTGTCGTGAACAATTAAACTTGGTCTGTAATAATTTTGCTTGTCCTGTGGTGACAAGTTGTTGAACTTGGTCTGGATTTCTGAATGTTGAACTAGAAGCCGCGCCTCGCTTTGCTTGCTGTTAGTGGATGAATCATGCTAGTTTGAAAGTGAAGGGGAGAGGCTGATCATGGAGAAAGACACATATGCTAATGACCTTGCTACACTGGAAGAACATCTCTCAGGAGTAAGGAAACCAATGGAAGATATTGTTAAAGTAAGGAAACAAGTGGGATAAGAGGGACAAGTACTCTTCAATAGTTTCCTTACTATTGAGAGATCTAAGTAGACAACAGAGTACTTCTCCCCATTATCCCACTAGTTTCCTAACCTTTGAGAGATCTAAGTAGTTGACAGAGTACTTTTCATACCACGAAGCTTGATAGCTTGCCAGACAAGGTATTAGGGAGTACAAGAAGAAACTTTTGGGACGGCACCGTTTATCTGGCACCGGATTCCTTGACTCGAGCACCCTTTCCACACAGCGGCACTGTTTTGACTAAGACTTGTGCTGCCGGCTATCGCGGTCAGCCTGCCACCTGATGAGCGAAAATAAGAGGTGGACATAAAAGGATGTAACGCAGCACCACACAGTTCAAGTTCACCAGTTCACCACTTGACCACACAATAATACAAGTTCAGATTCAAACTGCAGCAGCAACTCATAATGACACAATACAAGTCTTTAAAAAGATAAAAAAACAAAAGTTCCAGCAACAGCCCTTCAACATCACAGATTCAAGTCTTCATCTCCACACAATAATACAAGTTCAGATTCAAACAATACAAGTCTTTAAAAAGATAAAAAAACAAAAGTTCCAGCAACAGCCCTTCAACATCACAGATTCAAGTCTTCATCTCCATCTCCATGACTCCATGAACCAGCAGTCCCAGCAGAACCTGAAGATGTATAACGCAACAACTTAGAAACTGCACACTGCATAGGTAATGTACATTATTTGAAATTAAGAACACATGAAGAGCTAAGACCCAAACACAACTATCAAAATGAAGAGAAAGCATCTAAAGAATCCATAATATTCTATACAAAAAAAAAATATCTATGATTATTTAGATATCCTTTTTGTATAAAGTAATGACTCTAGTAATCCTCCTCGCCGCCGATGTCGTCCTCTGCAACATCCTCCTCGTCGTCCTCATCGTCGTCGTCGTCCTCCTCCTCATCATCATCGTTGTCGTCCTCCTCGTCGTCGTCGGAGCAGTAGTAGGCATCGTCTTAGATCTCTCAATAGTAAGGAAACTATTGAAGAGTACTTGTCCCCCTTATCCCACTTGTTTCCTTACTTTAACAATATCTTCCATTGGTTTCCTTACTCCTGAGAGATGTTCTTCCAGTGTAGCAAGGTCATTAGCATATGTGTCTTTCTCCATGATCAGCCTCTCCCCTTCACTTTCATAAGCCTAAATTTGGGATATATTAAAGATTGAATCGTCAGGATTACTGCTGAAGTAAACATAAAATAATCAATTCATGGCCACTATCAGAGAAGGAATTCAACAGAACTGATCTTAAAATGTTGCTTATGAAAGATGTCCATCCTCGCATAGTTAACTCATGGAGATGGATGAAATTTATAATTTTCAGCTATGTGCAGCTTACTATAGTTTCCTAACTTTTGAGAGAGTAGTCGTGTGGTGGGCCGAGTTGGGCCAGTTTTTCTTCCTAGGCCGGTCCAGCTTGAAAACAGATCAAACGGCCGAAGCAACGCGCCGTCGCCCGTCCCCCCTCGCCGCCGGCCGAAGCAACTCGCCGTCGCCCGTCCCCCCTCGCCGCCGGCCGAAGCAACTCGCCGTCGCCCGTCCCCCTCGCCGCCGACCGAACCGCGACCAGGCACGTAATGCAGCCCTAATCCAGCCCCACCCTCTCCCACCCTCTCTCTCTCTTCCCTCTTTCCCTCTTTCCCCTAAGCTCTAATCGAGCCCTAACCAGGGACGGATTCAGGAACGCTGAGCGCAGTGGCTCTTCGGAGTAGTGGAGTAGAGCAGCAAACACCTAGCATATCTTTTAATTTTGAGAGTCCAATTTCATGAACATCTGAATTGTTTGCTTAGCAGCTTTCACAAGCATTAAAATGCTGGGGCCAAACCGAGCTGTCAATGATGTTTACATTGAAGTGCTGTCATGGCCTGTTATCGATATTTTGAAGCGGAAACTTGACCCTGTTAAGGTAATGTGCCTCTCCCAAGTCCCAACAGGTAACATTCCTTATTTTGAACCTCAAACATCTCCATTTCAAGGTTGCCATGTTGTTACAGTTACCATTGGAGATGATCCCAAATGAATTTAAAACCTGGGGTGACTACAAAGAAGCATTTCGCAATCCAATATTACAGGAAATCTGGGCTCAAATAGACTCGGGCATGGATACCATTTCGAGATGCCTATATGTGCCTTGCCCTCATGTCTCTATGAAGAATTCAAATTCTACTATGTACCAAATCACGGGCAATGCACCAGAAGGCGTTGTGCTAAAAAGTGGAGATATCATGTTATTTTCAGCAAAGGGATTGAATTCTAGAGAGCAAATTATTCAGGACAGGTCCTTCTGCGCCATCCTATATATTGTAGAAGTGTTACCTAAATACATGCTTGTCAGGCTATCGCAGAATCCATTTGGGGGCAGTCTGAATACGAAAAATTCCTACCAAATTATGTACCTGGCTAGTCTGAAAACATATCAAAGTATTTGGAAAGTCATGAACAGATGTCCCAGAAAAATTTCTGAACTATGCAATCTCATATGCACTAAAAATATGAATGGAGTATGTCCTGACATTTCTCTCTTAATTTGAGAAAAGTTTTGCATTGCGCACTGACATTTTGAATATATGCTGTAGGCTGATGGAGAATGTGGACTATTTGAAGGTAAACCAAAAGATGTTGAAGCTGTCCGTGTTGATTTTGGACTAAATGAATCACAGAGTGATGCAGTAGCAAGTTGCATTTCAGCAACTAAATCTGAGAAATCTTCTGTACATCTAATTTGGGGCCCACCTGGCACAGGAAAAACTAAAACAGTTTCAGTGATTCTGTGTAAGCTTCTAATGATTCCTAGCAAACCTAGAATTCTTGTATGTGCTCCAACCAACACAGCTCTCGTGCAATTGGCTTCTCGTCTTGTTTCTCTAGTTGATAAGTCCACTGAAACCAAACATTTACTTGGCAACATTATTATGTTTGGTAGTGACAAGCTCTCGTCATGTTGTAAGAAGACTGATAATGCCCTGTCAAAAATATATTTGAAGAATCGTGTTTATACGAATGATAGAAATAAAGAGGAAAGGCTGTTGCGAGATTCACAACTTGTATTTTGCACTCCTTTCATGTCGACTAGGTTGAAATGTCAGCAATACGACATCTTGATTATTGATGAGGCAGCATACTTAAAAGAATGTGAGTCAATGGTCCCTCTCTCAATTGACGGGATAAAACATTTGGTGCTTATTGGGGATGACAAGCAGCTCCAATCAGTGGTAATGAGCCAGGTAAATCTTCCTTATAATGCCATTTGAATTGTCACCAGTGATTATTTCCTAATTTCTAGATTGCTCATCCTCCTCGCTGCTAATTGCGTAGATTGCTAAAGAGGCTAAGTATGGACGAAGCCTCTTTGAGAGATTGTGTGAAATTGGTTACCACAAGCACTTGTTAAATGTGCAATATAGAATGCATCCTTACATCAGCAAGTTTCCAAATACAACTTTTTATGATGGAAGAATTATAGATGCCACTAAAAACACAGCTGCCAAGATTTTTGTTGGCAATATTTTTGGCAATTATTCATTCATTAATATTGAAGATGGTATAGAAGAGCAGATTGGTCAGAGTGTACAAAATATGGTTGAAGCTGCTGTAGCAACTACTATTGTTTCCAAGCTTTCTAAAGGTATAGTCCGTAAATTTTGGAGTTTTACTAATCCAATATTTTTGGCAATTATTCATTCATTAAAATTTGGTCTACAACTGCAGCATGCAGCAACCAGAATAAGAAAGCCAGCGTTGGTGTTATATCTCTTTATGCAGCCCAAGTGAATGCTTTGAAAGAAAATATTGGAACGATTCAGACTGATGAGCTTCTTTCTGTTGAAGTAAAAACTGTTGATTCATTTCAAGGTGATGAGAAGGATATCATAATACTTTCAACAGTTAGAAACAATAAAGTTGGGAATATAGGCTTTCTAGATTCTGGTGGGAGAGCTAATGTGGCCTTGACAAGAGCAAGGTATATTACCTTTTTTCCTTTGGATCCTTTGAAAATTTATATCCCAGTACATTTTTATTTAAATTTTTTTTCCCCAACAGGGATTGCCTTTGGATTCTTGGAAATGAAAAAACTCTCATTAAGAGTAATTCAGTATGGTCTAAGCTAGTCCAAGATGCGAAAGGTCGTTTCTCTTTCTTTGATGCTCATGCTGACCCGGATCTTGATAGTGTAATTAGTGGCTTCAAATCTATGAACAGTCCATCACCATCTGGGTGCAGTCAGCTAAATATGCAACTCGCAAGTGATATCATAATAGAGGCTGGAATAGAGGAAGTAGAAGCAGTCGTTGATTTTTCTCCTTCAACAAAGAGGCTCTGTTCGTCGTGTGAGGACCAGCTTGATTTGTCTCCTAGTCACATTCCTTCAAGGAAGAGGCTCTGTTCTTCGCATGAGGACCAGCTTGCCAGACCAAAAGTACGAGAACCTGAAGTTTCAAGCACCATTCCTGAAGAGTCACCAGCCACAGACCCGTTGCTGTCAGCGGGGATGCAGATCGAGGTCCCCTCCAGGACTCGCAAGGACAATCTGCAGATGTTGTTCCTGCTCCTCCCGGCCTGTGCTTCGAGTTGATGCAATCTAAGCAGTAAGTGTACTTAAATTCAATATCTGCATTCTTCCTTGCTCTGCAAACGTACTGAGTGATAACATGTTTGCTCTTAGGAAATCTGTATCAATAGCAGCAACATCCGCGATTATTGGTGCAGCGCCATCTTCCTCATTTGAAGCCCCAGAGCATCCGACTACCTTTGTAGTCACTGAGCCTAGTACTTTCCCACCTGGCGATGTATCAGCCCATGAAGAAGCACTGAATCTGAAAATGGAGTTGGAGAAGAAACATCATGATCATATAGCTGTTAGTATACGTATCAATATATTTCAAGAAACACTGTATCTGTACTGCCATCTAGATATATCGCTGACTTGTCTTGGTGCATGCCAGACTTTTGTTGAACGAGAAAGGCAGAACTTGGCACTTCTGAAACAGAGCTTGGCACTTGTGAAACAGTCCAACCAACTTCTCGCCGGGCAGAGTCTGCTGAAGCAAAGTCGGTTGAGGAGCAAGAGCGCTATGCAAAACAAGAAGAAGATCATCTGGCTGCAATTGCTGTCCTCCAGGAACAAGTTGACTCTCTAAAAGAGAAGAACAAGGAGCTATCGGCTTCTCTAAAAGGTTAGAATTCCTTATTTCGATGTCGTGATCTACTCATCCCAATGATGCTGATGTAGTCTTGGGTACTTCAGAGCGTGTTAAAGCTGAGGCCACAATCAAGGAAGAATTGACCAACGCAAAGAATCTCCAGCACCATCTGGACCAAGCTCTTCAGATAGAGAAGATCCTCAAAGATCATGTAGAGTCAGAGAGGAAGATGGGCCAGGATGCTGATTCTCAACTAGTTGCTGCTAGGCAGCAGATCCGAAATCTGAGTACTCTCTTGGAGAAGTCCATAGCAGAAAAAGAAGAAATCAAGGTGGCTACCACCTCCATTCTCCAAATGGTCTCTGAATTGCCTGAGAATGAAGTTTCCAATCCCTTGGAACAGATGCCTGGTCTGATCCAAGTATACTGTAAGAAAGCAGCTAGAGTTTTTGCTTTGAAAGCACTTGGCTCAGTGAGAGCTTTCTTCCCCAGTCTTGATCTTACTCCAGTTGGTGAGGGTATACCAGAAGATTGCTCAAGTGAAGATTTAGCTGGTCACATAGCTGCAATGGAGTCTGTAGCGGAAAGGCTACTCGCTGACAATGTGACCTAGCTCTTATGGTGAAACATTGAAAAGCAACTGATGTGCCTTTTATCTTGTAAGGCAACGTTAAGTATAGTAACTTAAGTTATGGCCAACAGCAGTTCCTTTTGCCTAGCTTAAACTATAACTTTATATGATTCCAAGTAATTCATCAAAACTAACAGCCAATTCCTTCTCAATGTAAGAAAACTAGTTGGATAAGGGGACAAAGTACTCCGTATGGCTGACTAATTCCAGGGAGGGATAAGAGGAAAAGTACTCCGACTCTACATGTAACTCTGAGATGACTCCGACAAACTACACACGATGAATCTGGCTTGATAGGATTTGGGCCCGTTAGGCCGAAACGGGCGCTTGTAATCCGTTACATTGTGTAGGCAGTAGGCACATGTCCAGGATTTCTTCTGTCCTTGGTGAGTTTGGTCTGAGTTGTAGTGGGTGACTTTAAGTTCTGCATTTTGTTTTTGGGAGGTAGGGTGCCAGGTGATGGTTTTGTGAAAAGCGGGGTGCCCGATTTGCATGTCAAATGTATTCACAAAGTAGGAGCTTACATTCGTGTAAGTGGAATTAAGTATTACTTGAACCTCTGCAATGTTAGGAGCTTACATTTGTTTTTACATTGATGTCACACTGTTTTAGTGTTTCTAGCGTGAATATGTCAAAATCTTAGTTCTTGATGCATACCTTCCTCCCCTATTAGCTGAGGAAGGTTAAGGTAGGGAAGGCCCAACATCCGTCAAGAAAAAACTTACGGACAGATGATAAAGCTCTACCAAGTTAATTATAAAACAAAGTGTTTCAACATATTCTAAAGACCATAAGTTCAGGTACCGGTACTCTGTATTGGCAGTGGATTTACCGGTGCTTTTCTGAATCGGTAACATTTGCTACTGATAGTATTTCAGGTAGCTGGTAGGTAATATTTTAGTCCCATGGACTGCTCTATTGCATACATTGTGGTTGCTCTAAATGGTGATGACCTGCTCTTATCGGTTGTTGCCCTGGTCGTTCATGGCGACCTAGTTCTTGGTGTATGTCGCCGACGAGCCTCCTTGCGCCTCCACTCAAAATTCCCCTCCAAGCCCACCTTGTTTGGACATTGCTCTCCTTGCCATGTCTTTGGTGAAGAACATCAGTTTGACGTGAAACTGTGTTATTCGTGTATGCCTTCTTTATTGTCCTGTCGTGTGAACAATTAAACTTGGTCTGTAATTCTGCTTGTCCTGTGGTGACAAGTTGTTGAACTTGGTCTGAATTTCTGAATGTTGAATTTGGTTTCCCTAATTTCTGAATGTTGAATTTGGTTTCCCTATCTCCGGATAAAACCATGTTGAATCATAAATATAGATTTCACTCGTGTGCTAGCCTCAGCAAACAGTTCACCCCAGAAAATAATATTGGGTACATGAAACAGGTATTATAAGCATAAAACACGAACTGGTACATAAGACACGAATTGGTACGTAAACATTAAAAACCATCAAACAACGGATTCAGGAATTTGGGAAGCTTTGGGAGGCTTGGCGGCGGTCGTCGGAGCCACAGCGGTCGAGGAGACATGAAGGCGAGGCGGGGGCTCCTCGGCGGCGAGGCAGGGCGGTCGCCGGGGTTGGAGGCGGCGGCCCGCCGTCGCGCCCAGCGTCACCGGGCAGGATCGCAGGCGGCGGCCTGGGCAGCTTCGGGAGGCGAGGCGGGCGCTCCTCGGCGGCGAGGCAGGGCGGTCGCCGGAGTTGGATAAGGCAGCCACTGAATGGGCTGAAAGATTTTGGCCCATGTGCCACCCATGGGCCAGGCCCAGTGCGACTCGGTGCCCAGTGCGAATCGGTGCCCAGTGCGAATCGGTGCACTGTTTTAGTGGTGGAGAGTGGCGAATCGGTGCCCAGTGCGAATCGGTGCCCTAGATTTTAAACTCGGTGCGCTCCCCCGACGCCGCCGAGCTCTCCTACTCGAAGGCCACCTCTCCCCCGACGCCGGCGAGCTCTCCTACTCGAAGGCCACCTCTCCCCGACGCCAAGGAAGCTCTCTACTACTCAAGGCCACCTCTCCGTCGCCGCCTTCTCTTGTGAGTACCCCTATCGTTAAGCTTTGTTTAGGGTTCAATTTAAAGATTGTAGTGAATCATTGGAATAGTAAATTGAAACAAGGCACAACTCTCTTGTAAATTTGTTGAAATATATACAAAGTTGAAATATATACAAAGTGGAGATGTAATGTATTTGCATTCCAAACATATTGCCTTTTCTTTCAATGATCATTTTACTAGTCTTGCCTGAAATCAAGCAAACAAAGAGTTGAATGCCATAGCATTAATGCAAAACTGTAAACTAAATTCTTCCCAAACAAACTGCAAAGTTCCACTAGTGAACATGTTGTAAATAATGCTTTGCTTTGTAAAACCCATAATACCCATGTCATGGTTCTGGAGCAGGTAAGCCCAACAGCTGGCCCATTAAGGCCTTCATCATGAATCTGAAACCACTTATAAATTACAGAATACATGATTCTTGTTGAGTTATTTTACGCAAACATCTACACTTGCTAGTCCAAATTCCTTGAATTTTAACACCATCTTTCATCTGTTACTTACTATGGCATCAACCAGCTGTAATGTTTTCACATCACTTTTGTCCTTCAGTCAATCGACCTTCGACCATTAGATTTTGACATGAAATAGTTGATGCATGCATGAAATACCTTGTCTAGTATCTTGTTGCTTAATAACTGTTCTGATGAACTGTTTATGTGTTCATCAGAAAGCACAATGGGAGTAGACAGAAAAGTAAAATGTTCTCTAAAGGCAGTTGCCCAAGCAGTAGGATTCTTGGGTGATGAAGCAACCCGTATCTTGAAAGATGACCTCAAGTTTCATAACATGATGGGGCTGGATCTGGATAGCTTGAAAAGGCGTGACATTGTGGAAATTATATATAATAGAACAGAAGTGGTAGATGGCACAATTGTGACACATATAAGCAATGAGCAAAGGATTGTGGTCACAGTTAAGAGGATTGAGGAAATATTAGGCCTTCCACGCGGAATTGAGGGAGAGGAAGTGATTTTGCCAAAATCTGCACACAAACAAGTTCTTGATTTGTTCTCGCAGTATCCCGATACCCTCAATAAGGACGTCCCTTCGAAGCCCAATTTTAAAAATTCGCTAATTGGTGCCAAGAATTTGATCAATTTGATGAAGAAGGTTCCTGACTCAAAAGACAAAGTTAGGTGCTTTTTGATGGTCCTACTGAACCGGGTGTTGATTCCGGCAAGTGGCTTTCATCTGAATGAAAGGCAGGCTGCATTAGCTTGGGACCTTGAATGTGTAGCCAAGACTGATTGGTGCAAGGTGGTATTCGATGACTTGTCAGATTGCATAGTGAACAAGCATAGTGACACCAATTTTTCTGGTTGTTCACTTGTTCTAGTGGTAAGCAGCTTCAACTCCTCCTTTGTGTAGAGTAAATATGGAACTTACAGTTTTTCTCTGTCCTTTGTGTAGAGTAAATATGGAACTTACAGTTTTTCTCTGTGACAGATTGCTGTCTTCGAGGCCGTAGTGCCATCTCACTGTCCAAAGACAAAACCATCTATCATTGGTTACAACAAGAAAACGTTGAAAACACTTCTTGATCTAATTAAAGGAATGGTGAAAGAATGTGGCACTGATGAAGAGGATAAAATGGGGCAAAATGGGTCTTTCCCAGACTATGAAGAGGATATTCACATAATTATGAAGAATATGGCTGATCATCTTAATGATGTGAAACATATGTTGCCAGAAGAACAACAGGAATCAATTGAATCCACCCTGGAAGCTTTTGATGCACTCACAATGAGGTAAACATGAAGCGGTATTGCTGCAATAGTTTTCAAATCAATTCCATTTTTCCTAACCCAATGTTTCATCTTTTCAGAATTTGGCCGCTGGATCTTTGGGATCCATTTTACAAAGCCAATGTTTTAGAAGTGGACAATGACAGCGATGGTAGCCATATCATGGTACAGATAGGTGACCATATGGTTACCAAAACTACATTTAGAGAAAGCTTGAAGCCAGATGGCTGGATGAGCTCATTTGTGATGGATGCGCAATGTGAAATCTGGCGCTCACAATGGCCGGACAAGATCATTCTTACTAATTACGCTTCCGTAAGTTCCAACTTCTCTTATCATACTTGTAACTTTTACATAATACATATTCACCATCTCATGAATTTTATAGAAAGAATTGCTGGATCAAAACGGTACAAAATCCCTGGACAAGGAGCTTAATGAAGAAAATGTAAACAACGCTAAACAGGTTTTGCTCTTTTCTATTATATTTTTATTTGATTTAGTTGATTCTGTCAATGGAGGTCCCTGAAACCCTGAATTTGACAAGTTTTTTTTTCCTAGATATTTGTGGCCGTAAATGCAGAAAGAGTGCACTGGATATTGGTTGTAATGGACTTTGATAAACACAAAGTGCAAATCCTAGACTCCTTTGCTTCAGAGACTTATCTTGTCCCTGCTTATAAAGTGGTATGTTATTCCTTCATTCCTGAGCTTCATGTTTACTCCTTTTTAGGGAAATAGCAAAGATGAAAGCTTGCTAGTTATATAATATATATATTACAGTTTTAACTATTTATTTACTTGTTACTGCCGTGTAATGGCATCAATGCATTTATGCAGGCATCACAGCTGGAGTTGTATTTAATGACCAAATTCAACCTGCATACTGGCTATCCTAAGGAGAGGGACTTGAAGTTGGAAAAACAGAAAAACATGTAATTTTTCCTTCCTTAAAGATAACTTAGACATTGAGTTCTTTGCTGCATGTTTACTCATGCTTTGCATTGTTGTTGTAGAAATGACTGTGGGTTTCATGTCCTCTTATACATTCAGCGCTATGGGGCGCAGTGACATGTATAAAATTGATACGGTTAGTAACATGCTTGTTAAGTAACAGTGTGATTTGTTTTCATTTTACAAAATATACTTGTGCCTTTAAATGCAGGAGCAAATTTTATGTTACCGTAAGCAGCTTGCTTATGAGCTCAAGCACGAATCCAATGACCATCCTTCCACATCAACCTTGAACCTTGATGATTCACCCCTACATGTGTATTCAGCAAGACCCCCACCAGGAAGATCAACAACCTCCCCATCTGTGTCAGGAAGCTTAAGTGCAACAGAATCTGACCCTTTGGGCGCTAAGAAGCAGTCTGCTGAGGAAGAGGGCACTTCGAGCAATAGATTGGTGCCTAATGAGAAGGAAGAGGGTGCTGCAGCGCACACTAAAAAAAAAAAGAAGAAGGACTGAGAAGGCCATTGCCAGTGCAGACGACGACATAATCCACCTCCGCCGGTCATCAAGGGAGCGTCGTGCACCTGATCGGTACCTTGTAGGCAAGTGAAGATTTAGCTGGTCACATAGCTGCAATGGAGTCTGTAGCGGAAAGGCTACTCGCTGACAATGTGACCTAGCTCTTATGGTGAAACATTGAAAAGCAACTGATGTGCCTTTTATCTTGTAAGGCAACGTTAAGTATAGTAACTTAAGTTATGGCCAACAGCAGTTCCTTTTGCCTAGCTTAAACTATAACTTTATATGATTCCAAGTAATTCATCAAAACTAACAGCCAATTCCTTCTCAATGTAAGAAAACTAGTTGGATAAGGGGACACTCAGACATGCCCCTCCACTGCCATCGCTAGAGTTCCGGTCGTGCCCGCTCCTGCCGCTGCACACCTTTCCCTCTCATTCCACTAGTTCCCTTACATTTGAGAGATCTACATAGGCTGCAGAGTACTTATCCATCTTATCCCACTAGTTTATTTACTTTTAAGAGATCTCATAGGAGTTGGTCAAGCCCAAACCTATGAAAACATAGCGATGACCAACTCGCACCCACTCAGACATGTCCCATTAGGCCACCATAACCCATCATGTGTAGTTTTTCCTAGTCATCTAAGAGTTACATGTAGAGTACATAGTACTTTCTCCTCTAATACTACTAGTTTTTTTACTAGGGCCAACTTTCAGAGTACTTATCCATCTTATCCCACTAGTTTATTTACTTTTAAGAGACCTCATAGGAGTTGGTCAAGCCCAAACCTATGAAAAGATAGCAACAACCAACTCGCACCCACTCAGACATGTCCCACCAGGCCACCATAACCCATCATGTGTAGTTTTTCCTAGTCATATAAGAGTTACATGTAGAGTACAGAGTACTTTCTCCTCTAATACTACTAGTTTTTTTACTAGGGCCAACTTACGTGAATGTTTAACACACGCTGCCTTCTTCTTGTGCTCCTAGCCCTCAGCCTTGTAAGTCTCCGCCTCCTATACCATCTCCTCGATCTCCTCGTTTCTTAGGCGGGTGATGGTGATATTGTTCTTCTGGCCTGAGGTATTAGGCGTAGTTCTCTGGCTGGTTATGGTGCCGAACTCAGACATCTCATAGGAGTTGGTCAAGCCCAAACCTATGAAAACATAGCGACAACCAACTCGCACCCACTCAGACATGTCCCACCAGGCCACCATAACCCATCATGTGTAGTTTTTCCTAGTCATATAAGAGTTACATGTAGCACTGCCATCGCTAGAGTTCCGGTCGTGCCCGCTCTCTGCCACTGCACACCTTTCCCTCTCATTCCACTAGTTCCCTTACATTTGAGAGATCTACATAGGCTGCAGAGTACTTATCCATCTTATCCCACTAGTTTATTTACTTTTAAGAGATCTCATAGGAGTTGGTCAAGCCCAAACCTATGAAAACATAGCGATGACCAACTCGCACCCACTCAGACATGTCCCATCAGGCCACCATAACCCATCATGTGTAGTTTTTCCTAGTCATCTAAGAGTTACATGTAGAGTCACAGTACTTTCTCCTCTAATACTACTACTAGTTTTTTTACTAGGGCCAACTTTCAGAGTACTTATCCATCTTATCCCACTAGTTTATTTACTTTTAAGAGACCTCATAGGAGTTGGTCAAGCCCAAACCTATGAAAAGATAGCAACAACCAACTCGCACCCACTCAGACATGTCCCACCAGGCCACCATAACCCATCATGTGTAGTTTTTCCTAGTCATATAAGAGTTACATGTAGAGTACAGAGTACTTTCTCCTCTATGGTGTTGATGAGGAGTAGATCTCTTAAAAGTAAGAAAACTAGTGGTATAAAGGGGGAAAGTACTCCGTCAAGTAAGAAAACTAGTGGTATAAAGGGGGGAAAGTACTCCGTCAAGTACTTAGGTCTCTCCAAAGTAAGGAAACTAGTGGTATAAACGGGAAAGTTCTCTGTCGAGTATTTAGATCTCCTACAAGTAAGTAAACTAGTGGGATACCTGGATCTGGCCGTCGACAGCGGGTCGGCGCCCGACCTCGACGACGAGGTGTATGCTGGCGCCTACATCAGCCCCTATGGGTGTCGTTACAGATATGATGCCTACCTCAGCTCCTACGTATTTACTAAGTAAGTTGGCGCCTACCTAAGCGTCGTTGTATTTTCTTACAGAGCTGGTGGCTAACTCAGTGTCATGTTATGTAGTTAGTCAGCAGGCACATACCTAAGCGCCACCATATTTACTTACTAAGAAGGCGCCTACCTCAGCGCCAGAAGAGATGAAGGTCGAGGGTTTTTCTACAAAATCACCGGGCCATCCGTCGATCTAGGCCGTTCTTCACGCGATCCGACGGCTGAGAAATGGAGGCGACGTGGCCTTCTGGTTTGGCGAGCTTGGGCTCCGGATTCGTATTATAGAGATAAGTTCAAGTTTTCAACCGCAGCTCGCAGGTCATCACAAACGACTTGATCTCCATCTTAGCCGCTGGATACTACCTACTTAGTCTTGTGCAAATGCAAATGCAATGCAATACACAACAGTACAGTAACTTAATCATATAATAGTACTGGGCAGTGGCCACACTGGCCAGTAGCGAGCCACTGCCTACTAGTTCACTACTACTAACAGGCCACACAGAAATGATCTCCTCGCGCATCACCTTATAGTCCAGTAACATCCAAAATGATCAATGCAGCCCAAGTAGTCATTGTTACAATCGACCTCTCTTATGACCTCTTTTCCGACCTCCTCTCCCTTGAGCTCTCTGACTAGGCATGGGTGTTCCTCCAAGGTACCGATCAGGTGCACGACGCTCCCTTGATGACCGGCGGAGGTGGATTATGTCGTCGTCTGCACTGGCAATGGCGTTTTCTGCAGAGGCTTCATCATTGTCTTCGGACTCGTCTTCTGAAGGGGCTTCATCTTCTGGAGAGGCTTCATCTTCTGCAGGGGCTTCATCCTCGTCGTCTTCATTCTCGCCTCTGGTAGTCACCCCAATTGTTTGGGACGAATATGCCTTACAGAGATCTACGACATTCCGCAGCCTCCGTTCTTGCTCCTGTCATGCAAACATGAAAATAGTTAGCTGCTATAAGTTTCTATACAGGTCAGCCTACTCTGAATGTTACATTGTTAGCTAATATTCCTGTCCTCTGAATCTCAATGCATGCCTACTCTGAATGTTACATATAGCTGCTGTCATTTTGTAATATTGCTGTCACGTGTTAATTCTTATTTATTTACTCTGAAAGGCTGAATGCCATCTCTGAATGAAATGTCAACGTGTCTAGAGTCGACTTACTTCAAGAAAGGTGCCCAGTGCGCGTTCTTCCACATTTGTCCTTGGAAAGTTTTCGCTTATAGTCAAGACTTCCTGCAACCTGTCACTCTGCAGAAAGGAATCATAGCATAGTTGTAATTTCATTTAAGAAAATATATCCCTGCCATCCAGCAATATTCAGCAATATATCCCTGCCATTTAAGAAATTACCATGTTGTTAATGATATCAGCATAATCAGCTGCCATCATCTTCAGCTTGCTCCTCGTCCTCTGTCTGTACCATTTTAGGTACTCTGCAAAGTTCTCGCCTGTGTGGGGGGCTCATCATTATGAAGCACGTTTGCAGCAGAGTTATTCCAGCTATTGATGTAGTCAGAGAACAATCTCTCATAGTCATTCTGCTTCTTTTTTCTTTTACGATTAATCCTGTAGGTACAGGCGTACAGCTAAGTGAGGTACAACTAACTAGCTAATTGAGGTACAGCTAAGTGACTTGTATTCAAAGATGCTTACTCGTGCAATCGCTTGTCCGTGTCAGACGACGTCACGGGCCACTCCTGCCTCAATCCATATTGGCGTGCAACCCTGTTTGGCAGTTGCCACTCAACACAATAGAAACATATCAATGGGCATTTCATCATCCACATATCCCTGTCAATCTTGCACACGACGCTGAAGTGGTTCTCCTGATATTTGGCATCAATCAATCCGTACGGCTCCCAATCAACCTGCTTTTGCCACATTAGTCAAATAGTCCTTACTTTCTTATTACAAAATTAGTTTATTGAATGAAACTAACTCACCATCTCTGGAGTCAGTTTGTCAAGCTCATCCGTATACTACTTGATGATGTAGGCATTTTTACGTGGGGCGGTGGACTGAGCTCCCAACCAATGGTCGGCATAGGTTGGGCGTAATCGAAGGCCAACCATCTCAAACCAAGCAGGACGATCCTGAGCTGTGGGCCGGCCAACCGGTAAATAAGACCACATCCATAGCTGGAGTAAGTAGACACAACCTCCTATTGTAGGGTTTTTACTAGTCCGGCGAGAACCCTCGCAAAGCTGTCGGTACAAGAACCCCAGAACTGCTGAAGCCCAGCTGTACCCCCCTGCTGTTTGCCAACTAGTGAGACAAGGTAGGAACATCCATGATGCGATATCTCCAGTCGCATCAGGAAAGAGCACACACCCAAAAAGGTGCAATACCCATGCCCTGCAGTGGTAATTGACTGTGTCATCATCTGCGTTTTCAGGACACGTCCCAAATTGGTCCCTCAACCAACTAAGCTTTACTCCATTGCTGTGCTCACCCGCCTTTTCTGGAGGAAGGGGTCTTCCAAGGAATTCCTCCATTCTTTCTCTCCAACCATCACTATTGCATTTGCCGACGACTGGAAGACCAATGATACGAAGACCAAGAAAGTTCTGTACATCCTTAAGCAAAATTGTCATCTCACCGTTAGGTAGGTGGAAGCTGTGTGTCTCCGTTCTCCATCTTCAAAAAATAAGAAGTACGGTTATATGCACATCAATAACCGAAAATATGAATGTATGTCTACTAGTTCGTATAATTGGTACCTGTCAATTAGAGCTGTCATCGCCGCTATGTTGTAATTGGGCAATCCACGGCGAACCTGATACGATATGACATCAAGTCCAGCCGTAGCAAGCCGATTAGTGTACCTTTCATCGTATTGCATGTCCTTGAACGTGTCAGAATGCGTTCGAGGACGGAGAGTGTTCAATTCCTGCAAATATTGGAAATGAATAACTTAATTAGTGAACACAAATACTTATGCAAACAAAAGTAATAAGCAGAAGTAAGGTTGTTACCTTCCCTTGTGCGATGAATAGTCCTCGGTGGTCCTTGTCGTAGTAGGGATCCAGTAGTTCGAACGGTGCCATCCTACACAATGAGAAAGTACATATTAGTTATATATGACCAAATAAATAGCCTCAGCACGGGTAGGCCTGCTAATGGGGCTAAACCCACACCGCACCCACCCCTCCCCAAAGCAGCCACTTCAAATCACCCCACCCCACACCAACCCAAAATTTTAAATAATCACCCCGCCCCATTTAAATGGGTTAACCCATGGAAATCCATGGAAAACCATATATGCATGCCAGAATGCCTGATGAACACCTCACACAGTATAGCAGATGTGCTCACACAGTGTATCCTAGAATTACGAAGATTGGCAAAGGCACTGTGTAATCACAACCAGATACATGCAATTATATTTGGAGCGTCCATTTATGTTTGATTAAATCATGAACTGCTAACTAATTTAACGCACCTCACACAGTGTACAAGGGATGGCCCAAAGAGACAAATGCGCAAAAGAAAATCAAGCTGATTTCTTTGATCCAGCACCTCGCGCCTGAATCAAATGCGTGCCTAAAAGCGCAAGGGGAAAAACAAGTTCGTGAGTAGGGATGGATTCCATGGCAGGGGCGGGCTTAAGGCCTCGTTCGGCAGCACCGATTTGAAGCCAGGCCAAGTTTCGATCCAGGCCTGGATCGAGTGGATCCCTGTATCTCACTGATTAAATAATATCTGAACCTACCACTACTCTTGTAAGCCATATTCAACTAGAGAAGGTTTATTGGTATATAATGTATCCTGGCTTTTCTTCAATAAACTGTTTCTGAAAATGGGTATATAATGTAATTGTGTAATTGTGGGGATAATATAAATATATGCACGTCATCCTTTTAGAGACATTTGGAAAAGATAAACATTAGTACTAAAGACATTCTCCCAAAAAAATGCCAACATTAGTACAACTAGAAAGACAGCGTGGCGTTGCCACGCAACCTTCACTGGGCCAGCCACTTGTGACCACCTATGTATGTCGTTTCTAGTTTTATCCGGTTGCAATACACAGGGAAACAAAATTAGAGCAGCGGGAAGGGCCAGAAAACTTGCTTACCTGAAGACGAGCAGAGGAGGCAGGGGCCCGCGACCGTGTGCAAATGGAGACCGACGACACGACGGCGCCGGCCGAAGCAGCGTCCGGAGATGCGGGCGGTGCTCCGAGCTAGGGTTGGGGCGCAACGCCTAGGCGCGATTCCGTCGCCTGGCCTATGGAGGTTGGCGGAACCCTAGGCGGGCGCAGCTCGTCGGCGGCGCCGATGGGGGTGGAGGAGCGTCCGGCGGAGGTCGCCGGCGGCGGAGGAGGAGATGCGGGCGGAGGCGCTCAGGGTTCAGGGAGACGGAGGAAGAGAAGCGGAGTAGCCTTTTGGGGGAAAAGTCACGCGGCAACGAGTCTTTTTTTTAAAATTTTCAGATCCCTAGAACTAGAATCCTCTTTTTTTTCAGATCCCGATGGTACCATTTCGTTTTTGAGCCCTTGGCACCTACTAATGTGTGCCAACAGATATTTAGTTTGTCCAGGTGATAGTTTTTCCTAGTCATATAAGAGTTACATGTAGAGTACAGAGTACTTTCTCCTCTAATACTACTAGTTTTTTTACTAGGGCCAACTTACGTGAATGTTTAACACACGCTGCCTTCTTCTTGTGCTCCTAGCCCTCGGCCTTGTAAGTCTCTGCCTCCTATACCATCTCCTCGATCTCCTCGGCGGGTGATGGTCATATTGTTCTTCTGGCCTGAGGTATTAGGCGTAGTTCTCTGGCTGGTTACGGTGCCGAACTCAGACATGCCCCTCCACTGCCATCGCTAGAGTTCCGGTCGTGCCCGCTCCTGCCGCTGCACACCTTTCCCTCTCTCATAGGAGTTGGTCAAGCCCAAACCTATGAAAACATAGCGATGACCAACTCGCACCCACTCAGACATGTCCCATCAGGCCACCATAACCCATCATGTGTAGTTTTTCCTAGTCATCTAAGAGTTACATGATGAGTACAGAGTACTTTCTCCTCTAATACTACTAGTTTTTTTACGTTTGAGAGATCTAGTTTTTTCTCTAATACTACTAGTTTTTTTACTAGGGCCAACTTACGTGAATGTTTAACCCACGCTGCCTTCTTCTTGTGCTCCTAGCCCTCGGCCTTGTAAGTTCCGGTCGTGCCCGCTCCTGCCGCTGCACACCTTTCCCTCTCATTCCACTAGTTCCCTTACATTTGAGAGATCTACATAGGCTGCAGAGTACTTATCCATCTTATCCCACTAGTTTATTTACTTTTAAGAGATCTCATAGGAGTTGGTCAAGCCCAAACCTATGAAAACATAGCGACAACCAACTCAACCCACTCGGACATGTCCCACCAGTGCCACCATAACCCATCATGTGTAGTTTTTCCTAGTCATATAAGAGTTACATGTAGAGTCACAGTACTTTCTCCTCTAATACTACTAGTTTTTTTACTAGGGCCAACTTACGTGAATGTTTAACACACGCTGCCTTCTTCTTGTGCTCCTAGCCCTCGGCCTTGTAAGTCTCTGCCTCCTATACCATCTCCTCGATCTCCTCGGCGGGTGATGGTCATATTGTTCTTCTGGCCTGAGGTATTAGGCGTAGTTCTCTAGCTGGTTACGGTGCCGAACTCAGACATGCCCCTCCACTGCCATCGCTAGAGTTCCGGTCGTGCCCGCTCCTGCCGCTGCACACCTTTCCCTCTCATTCCACTAGTTCCCTTACATTTGAGAGATCTACATAGGCTGCAGAGTACTTATCCATCTTATCCCACTAGTTTATTTACTTTTAAGAGATCTCATAGGAGTTGGTCAAGCCCAAACCTATGAAAACATAGCGATGACCAACTCGCACCCACTCAGACATGTCCCATCAGGCCACCATAACCCATCATGTGTAGTTTTTCCTAGTCATCTAAGAGTTACATGTAGAGTACAGAGTACTTTCTCCTCTAATACTACAAGTTTTTTTACTAGGGCCAACTTTCAGAGTACTTATCCATCTTATCCCACTAGTTTATTTACTTTTAAGAGACCTCATAGGAGTTGGTCAAGCCCAAACCTATGAAAAGATAGCAACAACCAACTCGCACCCACTCAGACATGTCCCACCAGGCCACCATAACCCATCATGTGTAGTTTTTCCTAGTCATATACGAGTTACATGTAGAGTACAGAGTACTTTCTACTCTAATACTACTAGTTTTTTTACTAGGGCCAACTTACGTGAATGTTTAACACACGCTGCCTTCTTCTTGTGCTCCTAGCCCTCGGCCTTGTAAGTCTCCGCCTCCTATACCATCTCCTCGATCTCCTCGTTTCTTAGGCGGGTGATGGTGATATTGTTCTTCTGGCCTGAGGTATTAGGCGTAGTTCTCTGGCTGGTGATACCGTACGGATTGATTGATGCCAAATATCAGGAGAACCACTTCAGCGTCGTGTGCAAGATTGACAGGGATATGTGGATGATGAAATGCCCATTGATATGTTTCTATTGTGTTGAGTGGCAACTGCCAAACAGGGTTGCACGCCAATATGGATTGAGGCAGGAGTGGCCCGTGACGTCGTCTGACACGGACAAGCGATTGCACGAGTAAGCATCTTTGAATACAAGTCACTTAGCTGTACCTCAATTAGCTAGTTAGTTGTACCTCACTTAGCTGTACGCCTGTACCTACAGGATTAATCGTAAAAGAAAAAAGAAGCAGAATGACTATGAGAGATTGTTCTCTGACTACATCAATAGCTGGAATGACTCTGCTGCAAACGTGCTTCATAATGATGAGCCCCACACAGACGAGAACCCGCGGGCCACTAGAGCGCGTGCTCGCCGCCGCCCCCAGGGGGCATCTGCGTGTACGAGCATGCGCTGGAGGCCGGGATGCGCTTCCCACTTCACGGCTTCTTCTGCGAGGTCCTCTCCCACTTCGGCGTCGCGCCGAGCCAGATCATGCCCAACTGCTGGCGCACCATGGCGAGGTTCGTTGTGCTTTGCCAATTCGCCGAAGTGGCCCCGTCCATACCCGTGCACCGTGAAGTGGGGCGAGCCGTCCAAGACCTCCACTGTCGAGCCGGTGCTGACGAAGGAAGAGAAGATGATGGCGAAGAAGCTGCTATGTGTTATGTGCGTCATCGTCGAGCCCACTGCTCCAGCCATTGCTTATGGTCTTCACAGTATGCCCTTTAGCAGCATAGGGAGGCTAGTGCTTGTCTTTGATCTTGGTGGGGGTACCTTGGATGTCGAAGGTGCCCTGAGGTGTCCATTAAATTAATATCTCAGCGGCCAACGGCATTCCCCCAACAGGCGGGTGTTAGTTCCAGTATAAGAGACATCTTCAACAATATATAAAGGGACACTGCGGTGGCGGGCACAGGCTAATATGGGCTACACCTAGAGCCGCCGCTGCGGTGGCGGGCACAGGCGCGATGGGTCTAGAGCGATGGGGCAGCGGTGGCGGGCGCATGGAGGCCGGCGGCCGGAGGCGCTGTGGACGGCAGGCGGCAGCCGGCAGCAGCAGCAGGACAGATTTGTCATCAATCTTATCACCAATAACCCCACGCTGTTCCGAGCGAAGCTCATGGCGTGGCTGCGCGACACGGGCTCGACGCGCAACACCAGGTCTTCCAGCAGCTTCACGGCCTCCTCCAGAGAGGAGGTGCTAGCCACGCCGGATGGGGGATCTGAACCCAGCCTCACGAATGGGCAACTGCAGACTGCGCCTCTAGCTCGAACACGCAAGGCTGCGTCCTCGCCTTGGCTCTAGTTGCCTCAAGCACCTCTTCGTTGTTTGCAATGGTGGACAGGGCTCCCCTCAAAGAATTCTCTTGTTGCCTCAAGCTCCTCTTCCCCTAACCTGGTTCGCCCACTTAGGCTAGAGGTCAGATTTTCCCCAAACCTGGCAAGAGGGCACTGAAAATGCACTATAGTGCTAAAATTGAACAATGTTAGTCTATTAGCCACCTAGAAGGAATAAAAAGTCAAGAAGGTGCACCTTAGGCAGACTAATGCCTGCTTCCCAACCATGTGATGGACCTGAAAATGACTGCTCAAACTTGTCGAGGTAGTCAGCCATCCTTCTGTGGGCGCTGATGACGAGTGAAGAACATGAGCATAGCAGCTATTGTTCACAGAAGAAGATCTCAGATCTGTTAACAGTTCTGGAGTGGATTCAGGATACTGATGATAGCTCAAACTTATGCAATCTTTTTTAAAAACTATGTACCGAACAAGATCATTGTACAGAACATTACCTTCAAAAGCTATCTGCTAGCTTGTTGATTAGCTTCTAGTTGATTCATTTTTAGAAAACAATATTCCCATCAGGTGTGCAAAACATTACATAATGCTCTAAACTTGAGACAACTGCCGCTGTGGTGGCGGCGGATGGGCGGCGTCGCAAGGGGAAGACGAAGGCCTCGCTGGCGCGACGGAGAGGGTTTAGGGAGAGTTTAATGCAATCCTTCCGTTAGAGCAAGTATTAAGTATTAGAGCAAGCTGTAAGCGGCTAAATGCTTGGCGTGGAGGAGAGAAGAGAGAAGAAGCGGGAGAATGGATTGCACCGCAGCAAGGTGCGCATGCGCAGTGCGGCGGCCGGCGGAGTATACCATGTCCTTGAACAGTGAAGAAGGCACGCTAGGGGCGGAAGCAACGAAGGAAGCGAGCAATTGGAGTAGAGTCCTTCAGTGTCCACCGGTATAAATGAGTTATTGCTTGGGCGAATGGCACCCAACATTCATAGATTTATTTAGAAAAATTTTGTAGTTGATATTTTTGGTGTGTAGAAATTGTGGTTTGTTACATCACCCACATTGATCCATACATACAATGAGCCCTATATATATGATCTCTCTCCCCTCCCCACCTTGCCCACTCCCTCTCTTTCCACTATATAAATCTCTCTCTTAGCTTGCCGGTGAGTAGGAGAAAATGGGAGGGTATGATAGTGATGGCTATACCACTGACTGTGACTCTGATATTGACTCTGATCTCGAGGGTAGCGACTATATGGAGTGGAGTAGTCTCGAGGGTAGTGGCGATGAATGTAACTTTGATCTCGAGGATAGCGACGATGTGGAGCTTGAGGGTAGTGACGATGACTGTGACTTTGATCTCAAGGGTAGCGATGATATGGAGCTGCGTAGTCCTGAGTGTAGTGATGATGGCGACTTCTACAACGACGACGCCTACCACTGCTCCGACGATGACGACGAGGAGGACGACAACGATGATGATGATAAGTGATTCAACACCAGCAACCAAAGGAGGTGGTGGAGGCAAGTCATCAGCATCACCACTCTGAGATGCCATTTAGCCTTGGTACACAAAATGTGGGCAGGATACAACCTGATCGACTTCAATGATGGCCTCTCAGCGCGTGATCCATCTTGACAGTGCCTATGTGCGCTCAGCTCAATCTGGGCACAAAATACCGAGAACCGAGAACCGAACCGAAAGTACCAAATCTTGTGGAGTTTTATATGTATATGTATTTTATACTATTATTATCTATGAAATCATGTCAAAATTAGTTTTTAAACTTACTGCCTATTTATGATCATGTTCTTGTTTTGCCGTAGCTTTAGAGTTCTTTTTTACTTGAATTCTTTCTCTTCTACGGAGTATTCTTTGCTAGATAGCTTGTTTATTCGATAAAAACTCCTTTTCAATTCGATTTACATTTGTCGGTTTCTTTTTACCTTCTTTTTGTCCGATACAGGAGGGATTCTTTTTCTTTTTTTTAGTGTTCGATTTGGGATAGTTTTATAAAAAAACTATAGCTTTTTAAATTAAATTATGATTAAATAAAAATAATAAAATATATAATAATAAAATTATAGTTTTTTTTAGGGGAAGCAAAGGCTGCGGACGCCGCCCGATCGGGCTATAGGCCCAGGGTCTATAGGGTTAAGGGCGTCCACCTGGGGTTAAGGGTTTAGGGTTTAGGGCGGGTTAAGGCCCTGTTTTAGGGTTAAGGGGGTCTTTTAGGGTTAAGGGCGTCCACCTGGGGTTAAGGGTTAAGGGCGTCCACCTAGGGTTAAGAGGGTCTTTTAAGGTTAAGGGCGTCCACCTGGGGTTAAGGGGGTCCCCCCGGGTTAAGGCCCTGTTTTAGGGTTAAGGGAGTCTTTTAGGGTTAAGGGCGTCCACCTGGGGTTAAAGGGGTCTTTTAGGGTTAAGAGCGTCCACCTTGGGTTAAGGGGGTGTTTTAGGGTTAAGGGAGTCCCCCCTAGGGTTAAGGGGGTCTTTTAGGGTTAAGGGCGTCCACCTGGGGTTAAGGGGGCTGCTCCTAGCTTGTAGGTGTAGTAGGGGTATCCAAGTGAAAACTGTAGCCACGGTTCCTAGCTTTTACGTGTATTTTGTCTGGTTTTTTTTGTGGATTGTTTTGCTTCCTAAATTGACTTGTTTGTCCTTCGGTGGTGAATCGCAGAATCCAGGAAGGTAAAATTTTTGGTTCATAACACGGACTGTTTGTCCTTAACCGGATGCAATGCCCTTAACCGCACTGTTTGACCTTAACCGGATTCACTGTCCTTAACCGGGCTCACTGTCCTTTCATAGACAATTTATGCTAACACATAATGGCCGTTTTATCATCGTGGATGTGTTTTATCATGAAACAAACTGATAACTAACAACACCCAAAAAAGATTAACCAGCATCTTGCCAAAAAACAAACAAGGTTCCAACATGGAAAACGACAATCCACCGTGCATAGAAACGACAATCCACAGTACAAGTTCATTAGACACTACAAAGTACTACAAGTTCATTAGGCTTCAAACAACAACTCATAAGCCCTTCAATTCATCAAGTCCTTAAAAAGATTAAAAAAGGTTCACACACTGACAGTTCTCCATTGCCCTCCAACACTGCAGGTGCCTACAAAGATGACCCTCCAACACTGCAGGTGATACTCCAACACTACAGGTGCCTACAAAGATGAGACAGGACCAACAATGTTTCATCAACAGACATAGGACCAGCAATGTTTCACTAGAACCACAGGACCAGCAATGTTTCACCAGTTCACAGCATACCAGAATCCTTCAGCTCATACTCAATATAACCACGTGCATAACTTTCTTCTAAAGTCATGAATGACTGACGAATTTCTATATTTTGCCTCAAAAGAGTGAGAGCAGAATATAGCATGTGATGGTCATCTTTAAATAATCGCTGAGCTCTTGAAGTACAATCATCCATACTAAAGCCACTGCTTAAAAGCTTTGATGCGGCGTCTGGATGGCTCAGATACATAACCATATCAACACTCTCTGAACGTGCTCTTTTAGTGGAAGGTGCTTCCAGTTCTTCCGAAACAAGGGTAGCTCTTTTCCCAGAATTTAGTGGAGTCTCGGGGATCTGCTCATAGTCATGCATGATATTGCTGAACACATAAAGCATAAGATCCTGATTGGGCATAGTTGTTAGTTTACCCTCCTGAAAAAAAAGGTCAGTAGGGAAGGGCCCTAGGATTAAAATAAGTTTCGGACTATGATATGGATTTCACTGCTTACTTACATTGTAATCTATGACCATCTTCTCAAATTCCTGAATCCGTTGTTTTAGCATTGCCAGATCAATGCCTGGGAACATCGAATTTATAGCCGAAGTCTTCAATATACGTTCCACCACCGCATCTTCTTGATACCATCTAGAGTTTATTTGTTTTTGATGCATCCTCGCATATCCAAGAATCCTAAGGAGTTCGGCATCCTTAGAATCATCCATGTTCCTGGGATGGGGCTGCTGTCCAGAATCTGTCACCATTATAAGTGAGGTCATCAGTGTTTTAAAATTTCAGAAGCAAATCAACGTTGATATTGCCAATTCTTAGCACATGATACAACAATAAGTGGTGCTACCAGACTACTAGTGCACAACATCAAGTAGTAAGACTGTCACCATTATAAGTGAGGTCATCAGTGTTTTAAAATTTCAGAAGCAAATCAACGTTGATATTGCCAATTCTTAGCACATGATACAACCGGGTGAAGACCGAGACGTACCCAAGCGACACAGGATGGAAGAAGATCTGCGACAGGTTGAAGAGTGAGAACAGGGCGATTCCTCGTCCGGAGATGTGCGCGTATCGTCGGCCGGAGATCTGGGCGTCCCGTCGGCCGGAGACGAGCAAGAGGACTCGTTATCAATCTAAAAGGGAACAAACCAAGAACTGAAGCGAGCACACTCAGAAACTTAGCTGAAATGAGCACTGAAACTTAGCTGAAACGAGCATTGAAACTTAGTACTTAACTGAAATGAGCACTGAAACTTAGCTGAAACAAGCATTGAAACTTAGTACTTAACTGAAATGAACACTGAAACTTAACTGAAAGGAGCACTGAAAAGATAGCTATTCGATATTTTTATGTCTACAATTAACATTGTTTTGACTCACAACAAATTCAGAACTATGATGGAAAAAAGAACCATCCAACAAAAGTGATTTGGATCCACATATTTTATGGCTTATACAATGGTTTGTAAAATTGAGGATGCAGCAAATTCAGATTGAGGTAGCAAAATCAGCATTGTTATATGATTTTTTTGGAGGACAGGAGGTGTTGCCCATATGGAGTTTTATTGAAAGAACACAAGATGTCAGTGTCATGTATAGTTGTATTATAAACTGATCCTAGCCTTTCCTAATTTTTTTCTGTGATGTGCAGAATCTCTCTCAGATAGCTTCCATTAACTATGATCTTTCTGTCCTTATCAAGGTGAAAAGATTCTTGATTTTTTTTTCATGTACCATTTTTTCATGCACTCACTCTGCCTCCATCTCCATCCGCAGGGCATCCTGATCAACGGGCTCAAGAATCAGATGGACTGCGTAAAACTACACCTACCACTTCCAAACCAAGGATCGATCGGCTCCTTCTTCTACTTCCACCAGGCTCCACCGGCGCGCCGAAAGGGGTTCAACAGCTCAACGTCTACCAGCGCCCGCCATCCCGTGCCCTACCCGCTTGCCGCCGGGCGGGCGACTTCACCTCCTCGTCGGGGGCTGGTTCGCCACCCGTCCCCTCAAGACGCCGACCTCAAGCAAACAGTCGACACCACCACCGGCCGTCAAGAACGGCGGCGGACGTACACCCCACCCAATGCAATGCAAATCTACCAACCGGTAACAAGAACAAATCTCATCGTCCAGAGCGGATCCGGCGAAGAAAACATACCTGTCCAGGAGCACGAACAGCGGCAGCAGCAAGCCGAAGCCGGGCACTGCGTCGCCGTTCAATGGGCATTTCCCTCCCCATTGAAATTAATCCGGTGGCCAGAGGAGAGAGTATCGATTTGACCTGCATTGGAATCAGCAGCATGGCTGAGCAGAGGGCCTCGCCGGACTACGGGGAGAGGGGAGCGCAGAGCTACTGCACGCTTTATGTAGCGAGTAGAGGAAAAGGAGAGAAAATGAGAGGCCCGGGAGGTCACTGCCTCCTTCGCTCCCCCTAGACCCTGGGCCTATAGCCCGATCGGGCGGCGTCCGCAGCCTTTGCTTCCCCTAAAAAAAACTATAATTTTATTTTTATATATTTTATTATTTTTATGTAATCATAATTTAATTTAAAAATCTATAGTTTTTTTTATAAAACTAGTTAATATGCATGTGCAACACGCACTGCGTATAAAAGTGCATACTGATGCTTCCTATTATCCTTAATTTCATCAGTTAAATGTTCTAAACATCATGGCACTCCATCATACCCTTTTCAAATGTATAGAGTACTACTATGTTCATTTCTATTACAAGGAATGCGACTAGCGGTTGCACATATGTATACCATGCCGGTATACACACTTTCAGTGATTGTGGTACGACGTCAGGCACTAGCACAGGCAGGAGCGCGGCAAAGCCGCACATGATTTCTAGTCTAGGACGGTGACAAAAACTTACCGAGAAGCAACCGTAGAACCTCCTCCCTGGGAAACGCTTCCACGATACGTAGAGTCCGGCCTTCCTTGGGGGATCGCATTTGCACTGCTCGTCACCGTCGTAGTCCAATGGATGCTTGCTCCGTATAGGGGGGCGCCGCGGCTCCACTCTGTTCACCAGAGAGCGCCGCGGCTAGGAGGACTCCCCCGACGACTGCTCGGGGGTGCTCCGCGGCGACCGGTCGGCCAGAGAGCGCCGCAGCTGCGAGGGCCCCCCCGGCGACCGGTCATCCCTTGCCGTCGTCCGCCGCATCTCGAAGGGGCTCCCCGGCGCCTGGCTCGGGTGCGCCCACGGCTGGGAGGGTCCTCCCGGCGGCGCCTAGCACGGGTGCGCCCACGGCTGGAAGGGTCCTCCCGGCGACGACAGGTGCGCCCACGGGTGCGATGGCGCCTCACAGGTCGGACACGGACCCCCAGCCTCGTAGGTCGGACACGGGTGCGCCCACGACTGGAAGGATCTGCCCGCCGACATCACTCGAACCCTAGGAATGGGGAACCATAGGAATGAGGAGACGCTCGGCTCGAACCCTAGGATCAGGGTTATGTGCCCGTCGCGCCTCTCTCTGGGCCGTGGGCCGTGCGCCTGCTGCCGTGGGGCGATCACGTGGGCCGTCATAGGTTCATTAACATGAAACCCTAATTGATTTTCTATTTTTCTTAATTATTTAAAAAGGTCATTTTATGAAGTTGCTCAAAAAATTCCCAAATTAATTACATAGGTTCATTATGACATAAGTATATGGTAAAACAAATTTCAGAATTTTTGGAGGTCATTAAGGTGCTTAACAAAAATCAGACATTTAATTAACAAAAGGCACTATTTAACAATTTTAAATAATTACCCAAAAATCAACTTGCTCCAAATGACTTCAAAATTTTACCAGAGGTTAATCATGACCTAAATAGCATGTAAAATTAATTTCATGATTTTTGGAGCTATACATGATTTTCTAAAAATCTAAAACCATCCCATTTATTAATTAAATAGGGGATTTTTCATTTTTAAATTTTTGTTGAAAAGTAAAGTTTCATATTTTTCTAAAATACTACATGACATAAGGAGTCTACCACATTTTTTTCATAATTTTTGGAGCACAGGATTAAATCATACAAAAAAACAAAATAGAACACTATTCATGATTTTTCAAAAAAAGAAAAAGAAAAAGGAAAAGCCACTGTTCATCTTCAACCTCCCGACGGTGGCGACCAGTCGGCGGCGAGGTGGTGTTCCGGCCACGGCAAGGCTCCGTAGGCAAAACCAAGGGCAGGGGAAGTGTCAGGGGCTCACCGGCGGTCGATGACGGATGGTGGCGAGGCAAAGGGGTGGACGGAGCAGAGGAGTCGACGGCGGCGGTGACGCGGCAGAGCTCCGGCTCGGCTTCTCCTCGTTCCGGCGATCCTGCGCACCAGACGAGGTCACGATGGCACGATTAGAACCGCACGAAAGCAGGGAAGGAGAAACGGGAGTCGGGGAAGGAAGAGGTGGGGTGGTGGCGGCGTATTTCTTCTTCCCGACCTCACCGGTGTCTCGCCGGAGATGGGGAGGCGAGACTACGCCGGACGATGGAGGATTTCTGGTTTGCCATTTCGTAAAGTTCTGGTTTCATTCGTTTTATTCCACTGAACCGGGCCTTGATCTGATCAAACTAACGAGCTCGGCCTTTGACCAGGAGAAGTATCGAGATCCAAGCGGAAGCTTAAAAGAAATTTAATACTGAAAAAAGGTATGTACTCTAAGAAACTCAGGTTTTTGGACGGGAGCTACAGCATCGTCCGTGCCATCAATGTTTCCTACTCAAACATCATATCCTCCTCGGAACTCCGGCGGAGATCTCTTTAAAGAGTTTGGTCCGCTTTCCAAAATTCAAGTGAAGGTATTTGCCCCACTCCCCGCCCGTTTTTTGCCCCCACAACTGTTCATTTTGTTTGTCAACTTGAACTGAAATTTGCATGCCAGGTACATCCTCCGAACTCGCCGGAGCTTCCCATGCTCGGTCTGGTCCGTTCACAAATCCAGCTACAGGTTGTGGTGGTGTGCCGACATATGTGCCGTGGTCTGGTCCGTTCACAAGTCCAGCTACAGGTTGTGGCGGTGTGCCGATATATGTGCCGTGGTCTGGTCCGTTCACAAGTTCAACTACAGGTTGTGGCGGTGTGCCAACTACAGGTTGTGGCGGTGTGCCAACTACAGGTTGTGGCGGTCTTGCCGACAAAAATGCTACTGAGTTGTGGCGGTGCGCAAACAAATGTGTCTTGCTTACCCTGAACAAGCGAGATGTTTGTTAAGTATTTGTCTGCAGGGAATGGAGAAAATTTTTCCCACGGCAAAGAGCTGCAGATATTTACACTTATGCTGTGTCAAGTTCCACTCCTTGCGCAAAGCTTTCACCTTATGCCTGATGACTATGAAAAGAGGAGAAACTCCCTCATTGATCTGTTTGTAAGCTAATTTGCTCCTTTTTGCTAATTGGCTAATTTGCTCCGATTATTTTGCTAATTTGCTCTATTTTTCTCATCTTTGTAGCAACATGGAGGGGAAGGTGTGCCCAACATAGCTGAAAATGAACTACCTGAAGACTTCAGAAAGAAACCACCTCAAGAGTGACAGATTTCCAGTGATGTCTGTGAGTTCCTGCTCTCTCTCTCATTTTGTTGTTTTGGTCGTACTGGTTTTCGTAGCAAATTGGTGATACTATGCCATCCAGCCCACATCCACACACACCTTTGGGCTTTGGCTTCGGTTTGTTGTCAACCCCTGCCCCCTGCCCATATCTCAGTTAGGGATGACTCACCAGCACACACTATAAGACTGCCCTGCGACTTTCATTATGTTGTTTTGGTTGTGCAACCGTGATATGAACATTTTGTTTCCCTTGATATGATCATTTTCTCATCTTGACCATTTTCTCATCTTTGTAGGAAAGAGGGGGAGCTCAAAGAGGGGTGGAGACGTCTGAGCAATCTTGGGAAGTACCTGATCAGTGAGGGTGACCTGCAGGACGACTTGGCGTCCGAGCGGTTTCCCAACCTGGGCGTCGGGGTCACCTTGTATAGCCCGCGTATGGCGTCGCCTTGGCACGATTGGCGTCGCCTAGTCGTCGAATCTGCTCAGGTGGCAACTCATATTTTTCCTGCATAGATCTAGTCATAAAAAAATAAACCCAACTTGAATCATTTCATTTGGATTAAAATTGAAGGAGATATGGATTTTACAATATTTTTCCTGCATATTTGTATATATTTATATTTACATTTATCGGTGCCAGGACAAAGGAACCGCTGCCCCACAAATCGGTGCCAGACTATAAAACCGGTGCCCCAGGCCGGATTCCAGTAGCCTGGCACCGTTTCGGATGTTCGGCACCTATTCATTCCGTCGGGCCCCGTTTCTCCCCGCACCGATTCCAGTATCGTGGCACCATTTCTTTTCATTACGTCGGGCACCGTTTTTATGACGGGCACCGTTTCTCCCGGCACCGATACCGTTATCCTGGCACCTATTCATTACGACGGGCTCCGTTTATATGACGGGCACCATTTCTCCCGGCACCGATTTCGATGTCGTGGCACCGTTTCCTGGTACCTGCACCGTTTTGTGGACCCGGGTACCTTTTCTGCCGGCACCGATTCCTATATCGTGGCACCGTTTCCTGGTACCTATTCATTACGTCGGGCACCTATTCATTACGTCGGGCATCGTTTCTGCCGGCACTGTTTCCTTGTACCCTAACCTGGCACCGTTTCTGCGGGCACCGATTCCGATATTGTGGTACCGTTTCTGAAGTTCGGCACCTATTCATTACGTCGGGCACCGTTTCTTCCAGTACCGTTTCCTATGTCGTGGCACCGTTTCCTGGTACCCGCAGCGTTTTGTGGACCCGAGCACCGTTCTCGCGCACCAATACCGATGTCCGCACCGCTTCGTGGGCACCGATTCTGATATTGTGGCACCGTTTCTGAAGTTCGGCACCTATTCATTACGTCGGGCACCGTTTCTTCCGGCACCGTGTCCTATGTCGTGGCACCGCTTCCGGTACCCGCAGCGCTTTTGTGGACTTGAGCACCGTTCATCGCGGCACCAATTCCAGAATCGCACCGTTTACTGCGCGCACCGATTTCGATATTGTGGCACCGCTTCAAGTTCGGCACCTATTCATTACGTCCGGGCACCGTGTTTAGGACGGGCACCGCTTTCTTCCGATACCGCTTCCTATGTGTCGTGGCACCGCTTCCTGGTACCCGCAGCGCTTTGTGGACCCGAGCACCGCTTCTTCGCGGCACCAATTCCATAAGCTAGCACCGCTTCGCGGCAAATGATTTCGATATTGTGGCACCGTTTCTGAAGTAGCTCAACGCCGGTGAAATAGTACATAACGCTGGCGCCTTA